TTTCTCATCCAAGAAGCTTCTTCCATTCGGAACTGAAGAAACATCTTGGATGAGAAGTGAAACATTTTCAAGGGAAAAAAAATAAGAAAGTCCAAATGCCTTTTTGAAAGGCATCTTTGGGTCATTGTGAACAGTGATTATGAATGGCTTATTTTCCATAATTTTTTCCTTACCCTTTAAGTGGTAGCCCTCAGACCATTCAATGTCAATATATTCTGATGCTTCCTCCTCTTTCTCAAGATAATAAAATCATAAGGAGCCCTCCCATTTCAGCTATTCATCAATACACTAGTCTCCATTAACCTCAAGAAGAGAGACAGAATTCCAGTTCAAAAGAGAAATACATCTTGAATTCCAATGTGAGGCAATTAAAATTTTACAATTCTTCCAAGAAATCCATGCCTTTCCTATTCCCCTCCTCAACAAACCAGGGATAAGAGGAAATATAAGAATAGTTTTCTCCCAAAGGTGCTTTTTGAAAAGGCTATTGGACTTTGTTTTTCCTTGAAGATATTTCACTTCTCATACAAGAAGCTTCTTCAGTTCTGATTCATTCCATACTAATTAACTGCTTGGAGAAAGCTGGTATTGGCATGGCCACATTATTTTATCAGTCTGAACAGTTGCAGATACAATTGCAGAAATAAGATATCCAGGACAGGCCTTATAGTAAAAGAAACTGAAGTTGTATTCTTAAATAACTAATGCTGAAAAGATCTTTCTTGGCATACCACAATATATTTGTCTATTAAGCTTTTATGGGAGAGATGTACTATTCTCCCAGGACTGAGTTTCTTATTATTATCATTAAATTGATCACAAGCTATGGTATTTCCATTCTGCTAAAAATCTACTGCACTGATCTACTGCACCTGCCAGCATGATGGCCTGTGTTATATTTACTCATTTTTACCTTACCTCAGGTTGAAAATAACTGCCCTATTTATTCAAATCCTAAGTGAGATCATTTATGGTGGCAGGAAGTAGACTCACCTGAATAATCCAGAACAATTGAAGAATGAATGAAAAGTACATGTACTTTTCCACAGTGGTGTTCCAACACAGCTTTCATTAACCCCCAGCCCTCCAAATCTATTTAACTTCAAGACAACGCTAGCTGGGGATTATGATAATTGAATCCAACCATCTTTTGTAATCTTCATGCATTCCAGATAAAGAAACTTCTTGCCAAAGTTAGCTACCACCAGAAACATTAAGCCCTTCTTTGAGGAACTGATATCACATGGAGGTGATGATAGATAGATAGATAGGTAGATAGATAGATAGATAGATAGATAGATAGATAGATAGATAGATAGATAGATGTGTGTGTGTGTGTGTGTGTGTGTGTGTGTGTGTGAGAGAGAGAGAGAGAGAGAGAGAGATATGCAGATAGATAGATTTTTTTAAAAAAACACACCATTTACATAGCTCCCATATTATAAAATGGGTGGCTCTGAATGAATGAATGAGTGAATGATTACCCCAGAGAAACGATATATTGCTTTTAGAATTCTTTAATGTACTATATTCTGTTATAAAAGCCCTGTTTGCTTCTGTCATGTCAATCAAGATAGATGCTACAGAAAACCCCCTCCTCTGATGCACTTGGAGCCTTTCAACTCTCTCCTATGCCCTGCACAGTATCCAATTCTGAACACAGAAGCTGTGTAGAGCAGCTGTTAAGTGACAGAAGAAATGAGCCTTGGACCACAAGCCTGTCATAAACATTGCACACTTAATCATGGAACATCTGCTTTTCCATTTCTTTTATGACAACCTTTGCCTTGTATTTAATCTAAAGCAGAATGGTTTTTCTAATAGGTGCAACAGTGTTTCACAAATTGAAAAGTCTTCTTGCTAAAAATAAAATACACCAACAATAGGACAATTCAATTAGCAGAACCATTTCTTATTAAATAATGTGGCCGGGGGGGGGGGGAGAAATAAAAGACAGAATCACTGTAATTTTTGGCAAATCCAGACACTGCTCTGCCTTTGTGAAATTTAATTATTAGCAAATTAGTAGTGCTAATAACACCGAAGAGATTCCAAGATCCTGCTTCATTTTGGCAAATACTGAAAGCACCTCCCCCCCCAAAAAAAACCCCTCCCTATTTTCCTTAAGGACAATGACAGAACTTAGAATACATTATCAAAAATATATTCCCAATTTTGATTTTTACTCGTGACACCTATTTACACAAGGGAGTACCTTAAAATTAAATAATGCCAAAGTTATATAAAGTGCCAAACTTTGTTGAATGGGAGAAGTTTCTCTGAACTTCAAGAAGGTTTTTGTTTTGTTTTGGAAGAAGTTTATTTAGAAGTGCCAGCAATTGACTTGGCAACTTATGCTAAGAAAGTAAATTATAGACTTTCCTTTTAATATTGTAAGAAATATGGATAGAGCAATAGACATTCCAAGGATGCAGGTTAATAACTAAAGTCTAGTGATCTCCTTCTGGCTATCCTCCAGATTTGTGGACTTTAACTTCCAAAATTCTCCAGACAGTGTGGCCATTACTGCAAAATTTTAGAAGTCTACGCATGTAGAGAAGGCCTATGTTGAAAAAATTGTTGATGCTTCTGGGTTAAGTGACTTTAAGGAAACATCTTTAAGCAGATTTCCATTTATACTGTGAATTTCAAGCGCCCTATGCTGGATGCCTTATTTATTTCCATCATGCTAACTTCTCTGGATGGCTATTTGTGTGGCACTCTTGAGTCCTGAAATGTGGTCTTGAATATTAAAATAAATTTTGCTTTTTGTACTAGGGCCATATCTTCCCTCACATGTAAAGCAAAAATTAGATATTTTAATGTTTTTTTATTGCTTTAATGGTTTTACTTTTTTGTTGGTTTAAAACATTTTTAATATTTTAATTGTAATATATGTTTTTTGATTGTGAGCTGCCCAGAGTTGTTTTCTGAGATGGGCTTCTATAAAAATCAATCAATCAATCAATCAATCAATCAAATAAATAATTCATTTAATTGGATGAGAAATATTTTTGGATTTCACACTGAAATGTACTTTATTTATTTATTGGATTTTTATCCCCCTTTATTACTTTATAAGCAACTAAAGACAGTAAATATATCTAATACTCCTTGCTCCTCCTATTTTCTCTATAATAACCCCATGAGGTGAGTTGGGCTGAGAGACAGTGAAAGTCACCCAGCCAATTTTCATGCCAAAAATGGGACTAAGAACTCTAAATTTCCTGGTGATTGGCCCAAAATCACTCTTTCAGTTTTCATGCCTAAGGCAGGCCTACAACTCATAGTCTACTGATTTCTAGGCCAATATCTTATCCCTACATCTAATTGATTCTCATTACCAAGAACCTTAAACAGCACTACCTAAAATTCTTTAGATAGATAGATAGATAGATAGATAGATAGATAGATAGATAGATAGATAGATAGATAGATAGATAGATAGATAGATAGATAGATGGATGGATGGATGGATGGATGGATGGATGGATGGATGGATGGATGGATGGATGGATGGATGGACGGATACCTAATATTTTCCTGCAAATACAGGGTCTAGTTTTTTTGTTTTGATTTTTGATCAACCAAGCATTGATTCATTGGTTGCAACAAGAACTGACTAACCAAATTGTCACCTGTGCCTGATGTCATACTTCTAATAGTCTGTATCAAACAAAGCCACATTGTCTTTAAGGCAAATTGAATTACTTTTATTTTTGCTCCATTTAGATTTATCCTTCATTTCTAAAGGGACTAAATGAGATGGGACATTGAGACATCCTTGATTAGCTTTTTACACATTATTAAATACACAGACGAAAACATCTTGATCACCTCTCCTAGTTGCTGGGAAGGCAAGAGAGAGATCAAGGTCTGCTGGTAATCCCAACAGATTATTCAGATTGTGACCCATGTGATTTCCTCTTTACAAAAAGTGGCCTGACCTTGGCAACTCATCACCCAACTGGACTACTGCAATGTTCTCTAGATGGATTTTGTTTGCAGGTGACCTGAAGTTAAAACCAATCATAAACACAAAGGCCACATACCTGGAGAGATAACCTATCTACATGGAAACATATCTATATTAGAGTTATAGTACTGCTCTTTAATCTCTTTCTCCTGTTTCTGTTTTTTTAAATTGTTTTTGTTCTGGGGATGGTGGTCTCTGTTTAATTAAATAAGTAAAGTGGTAAAGGGAAAACTGTTTGGAGGTAAAGCCTTAAACCTTTGCTATCATGGTCCTAATCTTAATCACACAGAATTGCTTATTATTAAAAGTTTTTTAAGGTTTGGACTAGGCAAATGCTGATACCATGAAACTGTTTGCCCTTAGAAACGTAAGAGCAGAATAAAGAAAACCTTGAAAATTGTTGCCTTCTGGAGAGTAGCGGATTGAAATAGGCTGTTTTAACTTGTTGTAATCATTACCATCATTATCATGCTGTAATATACTACCCAAAGGACTTAGGTATTTAAATATTTCTGTATTGCATTTTTTTCTTCTTACTTAAACTAAATTCTCAATGCTAGTAGCATCCATCCTTTTCTCTTTTTCCATCCGTTTTTTTTTCTTCCTCATTCATTTTCCAGGCAGGGTGTAATTTGTACATTCATTATCCCTTACATTTAATTTGAAGGACAACCAGCCATCTTTCAAAGAAAAAAGCAAAAAATCCACTCTGCACACCTCATGTTATTGTGAATATCACAATGATGCTTCAGCATTAAACCTGCTGCTGCAATTTCCTTGCTATGCAGGAGACAGCAAGCATACATTTTCCTTTTCAATGGAAACATGACATGCACTTGGAGAGGACTGATGTATCCAAATACTGTGCCAAAAACCTCTTGTTTCCCCTTGTTTCTCACAAGAAATAAGAACATGAGTCAGCAGCTTTTGACAGCTACCTTCTTAATGTACAAGAATCTGCAGTGTAAAGCAGATTTTGTTTTCTGATTTACCAATCTAACCTAGCAACTTCATTTACAATTACCTCTAACATGGTTGAATCCTGGTATGAAAATTGCAAAGCCGGGACTCCAAGATGGTTGATGAAATAATCAGAATCCCCTTGCATTTGAATTGAACTAGCATTGGATTCCATGCATTTCTCTGGCCCAAGACAGGTGAACTTGTAGTTCTGGAACACACAAAATGCAATGTAAGATTAGGATCAGAAAGCACAGGTGCAAAAAAGAAAAAAAATCGCCACTATTGCAAAGAAAAAAAAAATAAGGCAAATGAATGTAAAGCATCCCCAAGCCAGGATCATCCAACACAGGGTTAATTGTGATGCCTAAGCTGCAAAACTGGAGGAAAAGATAATTTTGGACATCACTAATGGCAATGGAACCAGTTGGTTGAACTTGCCTCTGTGGTCCTGCTCATAAATGTGCCAGTGAGCTGAGGAGGGAATAGAGCAGTGGTGGTGAACCTCTGGCACGGGTGCCAGAGGTGGCACTCAGAGCCCTCTCTGTGGGCACGCATGCCATCGCCCCAGTCCTAGGCTTTCAGCTGGGTTTTATAAAACTTTTTCGCTTTAGGCCTCCACCGCTGTGTGCAAAAAAAAAAAAAAGGTTCAATCAGTCAATTTCAACTCCTCGCGGGGGAAAAAAAGATCTTGCACAGTTGGAATTGATTGATTGAACTTTTTAGTCCCACCCAGTCTGCCGTTACCACCACAGCCACGCCCACCCAATAGGCCACACCCACCTAATGGGCCACTCCCAGCCAATGGGCCACACCCACCCAGCACTCGACGATGCATAAGTGGGTTTTGGGTTCCATTTTGGGCACTCGGTCTTTAAAAGGTTCGCCATCACTGGAATATAGAGAAGAAACAGAATATTTATAACTCAAGATTGAACTGGGGATCCTTGGTGCCCTCTGATGGTTTTCTTGCAGATGTGTCATTGCACTATTGCTAGCACTGCCGATGTTACCTAGTTGGTGATGAAACATCTGCAAGAAAACCACCTAAGCTCAGAGAGCATCAAATACGCCTAGAGAAGAAACAAGATTTGGGAGATTTAGTGACAGACAATATAATCTCAAATGCAACAATGATTCTTTCTTTCTTTCTTTCTTTCTTTCTTTCTTTCTTTCTTTCTTTCTTTCTTTCTTTCTTTCTTTCTTTCCCCAGTCTCTAATAAAAACATTTAAGTTTGTAATTGAAAAGTTGCATCTTAAGGCGCCATGGTGGCGTAGTGGTTAGAATGCAGTATTGCAGGCTAACTCTGCCCACTGCTAGGGGTTCAATCCCGATGGGTTCAAGGTTGATTCAGCTTTCCATCCTTCCAAGGTTGGTAAAATGAGTACCCAGACTATTGAGGCAATATGCTGATGTTGTAAACCACTCCAAAAGTGCTGTAAAGCACTGTGGAGTGATATATAAGTCTAAGTCATGGGTGTCAAACTGCCGGCCTGTGGGCCGGTTGCATCATACGGAGGCCAGGCCCACCCCAGCTTTGGCAATGCAAAAAAAGTTGCGATATGTTGCGACACATCATGTGATATGGCGAGTTTGATACCTGTGTTCTAAGTGCTATTGCTATTGCCTTCTGAAAAATTGTCAAGATCACTGTTCCCTAAACCTTTCCTCATGACCCAAGCTTTTGATGCACCAGGTCAGAGGCTTGGGTGGTGTGCTCATCATTTATTTATTTATTTGTGTTTTTGTAGACCAGCTCATTTCTTTTATCAAGTAAGCTAAGATAGGATAGGTCAGCCTATAAGAGAGAAGCCATTCAAAATCAGGCCTTTATACTGAATATTAGCGCCACACTGTTCTGTCTTTGCCCCACCAGAAATATTCATTAAAAAGAATTGCAGGCCTCAATTAGGCCCCAAAGGACATAGAGCTGCCTTAAAAAATGAAGGCATTTGTTTAGGAACCAGCTTTAACTCTTTGGCTTAAGATATCCATCCTTTTGAATGCAGGAAAATAAATTCCTAACACTAAATTATTTGCCTCTGTGTTTTGCAGCTCATTTTCTCCAGCTTTTGCTACTCAATCTTCCAATTACTGTAACACTGCCAGATTTTATCAGGCATATGTATGGCATTTCTGGTAGCTACAACCCATCTTTTAAAGATGTACTCAGAGAGAACACTACTACTATGGGAATTCATTTTAATTAGAAATTGCTGCTTGCAAGTCTCTTCTTGACAGCAATTTGGTCAGCTTTAATTAAAGGCTCTGGTTCTCGTTCTATTCTTCAGTAAACAAGCTTGATGAATGCATTGTGATACAATGGCCATCCTACTAATTATGGGTGGCAAAATTTAATGGGTTTATCATGTACCCTCTGGCTCTGGGAGGTGCTCTTGTTACTTTTCTTTCTTCCTTCAAAATGAAAGTATAATCCCATTAATCCAAGGATTTATGGTTTTGGCTGATAACACCAAACTTTTCCGAGTTAATTTCTTCTGCTCCTCAATTTCTTCGATATATTTGAGGTTATATGAATAGCAGAAACATGAAAATGATATAGAGCAGGCATGTCAAACTCGCAATGTCACGTGACGTCGCACAACGTATCGTGACTTTTTCCCCATTGCCCGCAATGGGGTGGGAGCGGTTTTGGTGTGATGCATCTGGCCCGCGGGCCGGCAGTTTGACATGCCTGATATGGAGTGTTGATGTTTGAGAAATAATCAAGTTAGTTATTATTTATAATGTGGTGTAAACAGCTTATTGTACTGTTGTGGCATATCTATGGCTGTCAATCTATGTCTTGCTTGGCAAGAATATACTTATTTCTAAATCTGTGGTTGTCATAGATGGAGGTTTTCTTAGATCTAGGACTGGGATCCCCTTAGAGCCATTCTTTCATCTACACTGTCCCAGTTGCTCTCTCTTCCTTTTCCTCCACACTCTTGAAAAGCAACATCTGTCCAATTCTATTTCATCACAAAATCAAAAGCACTAACAGAACATCACACCACAAGCTCCATCCCTTTGATGCAAGTGTGTGATGTCATGGCACAGATTTTTTAAAAAAGGGCAGGACTTATTTTGCAATTCTGCAAGGTCCTTCCAACCTCACCAATTCCAACTTTTGATTAGCAATTATAATAGCCAATCATGGCTTTTAGATGGATTAATCAACCAAACCCTAGTTGATTAATCACTGAGAGGTCAGTCATGATCATTAGTAAGCAAATTCCAATAGTAATTGTTTTGTAAAGTTCATTCAATGATTATTTTGTAAACTTTATTTTACTACAATAATCCTGTAGCATTATTTCAAAGGGTCTTAGAAACATATTAAGCAGTAATTTAGTTGGTTTTATTTGGTATGTTGGGCGAACACAACTGTGGTTTATTTATTGAAGTTAAATAATACATAAGTGTAGTGTGTCTTGAGGTCCTTAGTTGTAAGGACTCATTATGCGCTCGAGAAGCCGAGCGCAGAGACAGGTAGCTATATAGGCAAGCTCCCTAATCACCTAGCATTCCAACCCTGATGACGTCGGCAGTCGGATCGATGAAAGCTTGGTAACTCTTTTATTTACAAACTTGTTGGTATTAAACAGGTTTGTTTTACTTTTATCGTGGTGTTCGTTTTTTCCTTATTTTATTGATATGTGTATGCCCAGGATTCGCATTTTTAATGTTATTAAGGACAATATATATATCCATATATACATTAAATATCTCTCTCTCTCTCTCTCTCTCTCTCTCTCTCTCTCTCTCTCTCTCTCTCTCTCTCTCTCTCT